GGGAGAACTTGCACAATTGGTGGCTGACTAAATACTTTTTTGCCCCACTGTAAAAATCTCATCAGAACAATCTGGCTTTCAGAGCTTTGTGAAACATTGACAAGATGGGGACTCATTCTACCTCACAGGCAAAGTGTTCTAAATTGCAGGGCCTTCTACCAAAAAGACACATTTCTGGGCTCTTATACACTTAATCTCATGTGAAATGACAAGCCTCTCTAAGAATGAATGCACAGAGTGGGCTAATTCTGGTCAGGAGAGACAATCCTGAGAGCATATGCATGCCAAGCCATATACGACTTTAAAGGTTAAAACCAGCATCTTGAATTGGGCTTGGAAGCTTATTAGTAACCAATGCAGAAACCTCAACATACACATCCCACTACTGGACCTACCTGCCCAATTAGCAGCTGGGCTGCTCTGTCTAGAACCAACTGCACTTCTGAGTCATGTTTAAAGGCAGCCTGATGTAGGCAGCATTATAGTAGTCCAACCTCAAAGGTTATATGCCCGAAGAAAATGTATTTAGCACAGCTATATCATTATTAGAAACTTAACAAGTCATGAACAAGAACATCCTCAAATTCCCCTGGCTAATATAATTTAGATTTCTGCTAAGGCATTCCTGTATTTCTTCACTAATTCTATCATTTGCAGTATTTTAAGTTTACTTGCCTCTTTTTGTATAGTCAGTTTGACTTTAAGTCTTTTGGAGTGAGGTTCAGTCCATACAAATCCTGCATCAATCAACCGAACCTGTTAGGAAGAAATAGTGTATGAATGCTCAAAAGGCAACACTAACAACAGAGACAGAAACATATTGATTCAGCAGTGTTAGCTTTTAATTAATGTTAACATGAGTGAAAGTACATGAAATTAAGTTTTTGTGAATTTAGAAAACACATGACAGCATGTTACATTAACCTATCCTAAATCATTTATTGTTGGTTTTGTCCATAATGGCTTTTTCTTTGAGGATCATCTCCCCATCTCTGTCACAAATGGACAAACAATACAGTACAGAGACAGCGCTGGTCATGCTTGTTGATGACCTCTGGCAGAGCTGGGATGGGTGTGGTGCATCCTTCCTAGTGCTCCTTGATCTCTCAGTGGCTTTCAATACTGTTAACCACAGTTCTTCTGGACTGGCTGAGGGTTAGGAGCAGGAGGCACTGTGTTCCAGTAGTTCACATCCTTCCTCAGTGGTTGGTTCCAGCTGATGTTGATTGGGTGGAGAGACTGTGTCCATAGCCCTGCACATGTGGGGTGCTTCAGGGCTGGATGCTCTTCCCTCTCCTGTTGCGCATCTACATAAAACCACTGGGTGAGGTCATCCACTGGTTTAGGGTTCAGTATCATCAGTAGCTGATGATACATAGCTCTACATTTCAGCCCTGAGCTGCTGTCACCCCTCCCAGGTAAACCAGACAGGAAACACAACCAGATGAACTAATTCTACTTTATTGTAAGGCTACATTAGCAGAATCCTGTAAGTCTAAAAATACAAATCTCCCGCCATCACTTTTAACAGCCTGATACATTAGGGTGGGTCCTTGTTAAGTTTCTTTCTTTGTCTGTTAAGCAGTGGCAGGCTTCTCCCCCTTTTATCTGATTGTTACCTAGGCAGCATCTCTTCCCCTCATTCCTCAAGGTTATTCCCACATACCATTACACATCAGTGCACATATGCACAGGTAAAGCTGTTGATGTATTAACCATGTCTGGAAGTTGTTTAGGTCTGGATAGGTAGGGCAGACTTCAGCTCAATCCTGACAAGACTAAGTGGCTGTGGATGTCTGGGCCTCAAGCGTTGGGGATTGTTACCATTGTTGGTCTTGGATGGGACTGCACTTCCCATTCAAGACTGGTGAGCAACTTGGTGGTCCTTCTGGGGTTCCAGGAAGCTTTGAAAAACTGGCGTTGGTCTCAGGCCTGAGGTTGATGTATCAATGTATTATTGTATTTCTGGGGCCTCCATTTTGCTTGATTTGTGTTGTTTATAAGATTGTTGTGGTCTGGGCTGTCTGTGTGGTTTAATGGTTTATCTGTTTTTATGGATTTTTCAGTTTTGTGTGCTGCCCAGAGCCAATTGGAGTTGGGCGGCTAATAAATTTGAATAAATAAACAAACTCATGTGTCAGATTCAGCCGGCCCGGCGAAGGCACCACTCAGCTTCGCGCAAGCAGAGAAAAAGGGGAAGTGAAACCGCAAGCGGATGCTCTGCTGATTGGCAACAGGTGGCAGCGCTTAACTCAAAACCACAAGCGGATACTTTGGGGGCTGCAAACAAAGGAAAGTGCAGAGGCTCAGAAGGGAAGCAATCAATGAACTCCCGGCTTTGCAGGCAAGCAGGCAAACCCAACAAAGGCAACAACAGCACAACCCATAGACTGCAATCAGAAAGACAAAAGCACCGGACTGAATCTGCCATTTGGGCGAAGGGGGATTACTGCAGTTAATCTGTAACTAAGCAACGGGTAAAAGCGCGGAACGGAGAAGCTATAAAATACCATGTAAGCTATGCCAAGCCAACCCTGGCTTTGTCTGTATTTACTTATGTTACGCTTGAGTAAACTTCTTTGCTGAACACACGTGTCACGAGAGTTTCTCTGAGATGAACAGGGTAAACCTTACAGTCATGTAGGACAGAAGCAACTAATATGCACTGTTGTAAATGTCTGCCCTAACTCTAACCATTAAGTCAACAACAAATACATCACAAACCTTCACAAAAGTGCTTTATGAAATTTGCACTTCTGCCTAGGAATGTAATAGATTGTAATGAATAACTCAAAATATTAAAGTTTGCTTATTTATATAAATATCTATTCTGTCCTATCCCAAATACTCAAAATAAACTAGATACAGTCATGTGAAAAAGAAAGTATACCCTCTTTGAGTTCTGTGGTTTTACGTATCAGGACATAATAAA